TTGTGGTTTCCCTTAAAGTAACAATTTCCAATAACCTTTTTTTTTTTTTTTTCTTTCCAGTAATGGCTATAAGCAATCCAGTAATCTATTAACATCAAGTAAAATAACATTTTATTGTCAAACTTATCCATGAGTAAAAGTTGGGTATGTCATATTTTCAGATGTTAATGCTACTTTGAGATTTAGCAGCTTTAACCTTGGCTAATATAGTCCTCCAGTGTTAAGATCATGGGTCTTGGAATAATGAAATTGCCTATCACATGAATTATTTTCCATTTTCAAATCTTACAATACACTGTATTCTGCAAAGCAGGCTGGCTGACTTGAACATCAAATTATTATTTACAGTATTATGTAGGAATTATATCTTGTGTAAGAGACACATCCCCAAGGATCTTTAATTCAGTATAGCAAGACTTTATTAAGTGACTGTTGCATACGTGCACTCCAAAGTCTATAAAAACACACATGAAAACTTTGGAATAGTTGCTTTCTAGGAAACTTGTCAGGTCACACCTTAATAACCAGGAGATTCATAAACTTATCAGTGGTGAGGTTAACATCTCATGCACTTCTATGAACACCTCTGAGAATGTGAAGTCAGGGCTGGCTTGTAAAAGACAAATGATTCAACAGATAATGTTTGAACTTTAATTTTTTAATTTTTACAAGGTGCCAATAGTAGCAGGCTTATTAAGGTACATTATTCTTTGATATTTCAGGAAGGCACAGTGTTCAACTGTGAACTACAGAGTCCTGTAAATGTAAAATCAAAATTTGTTTCTCAACCATGTAATATCCAGGATTTTTTACAATTACTTTGAGATTTTACCTCATCAGTAATGCAATGAAAATTGTAATATGATTATACATTTTTTTTTCTTTTTTGAGACAGGTTATCACTTTGTCATCCAGGCTGAAGTGCAGGGGTGCAATTGTAGTTCATTGCAGCCTCAAACTCCTGGGCTCAGGTGATCCTCCTTCAGCTTCCTGAGTAGCTGAGATTACAGGCACATGCCAACTAGCCTGGCTAATTTACTTTTTGTAGAGACAGGGGTCTCACTTTGTTGCCCAAGCTGGTCTCCAACTCTTGGGTTCAAGCGATCTCCTGACCTGGGCCTCCCAAAGTGCTGGGATTACAGGTATGAGCCACTGTGCCCAACCTGATATACAATTTCTGAGACAAAGTCTCGCTCTGTTGCCCAGGCCAGAATAGTGGTGCGATCTCGGCCCACTGCAACCTCCACCTCCCAGGTTCTCCTGCCTCAGCCTCCTGAGTAGCTGGAATTACAGGCATGCACCACCACACCTGGCTAATTTTTGTATTTTTAGTAGAGACAGGGTTTCGTCACATTGGCCAGGCTGGTCTCAAACTCCTGACCTCAAGTGATCCGCCCGCCTCAGCCTCCCAAAGTGCTGGGATTTCAGGCGTGAGCCATTGCACGTGGCCTGACATACAATTTCTTATGCCAATGTATAACTCCTAATTTAGCAGTGACTGCTATGCACTTCATTAACATTATGGACATTTCTATCTCCTAATTTAGCAGTGACTGCTATGCATTTCATTAACGTTATGGACATTTCTATCCCAAAAATCACATAGAAATGTTACTTTTTGAGACAGGGTTTCGCTCTGTTGCCCAGGCTGGAATGCAATGGGGTAAACATGGCTTATTGGAGCCTCAACCTCCCGGGCTCAAGCGATCTTCCTGCCTCAGCCTCCCAAATAGTTGAGACTATAGGCATGTGTCATCTCACCCCCACCCCCTAATTTTTATATTTTTTTGTCTATGTTGTCCAGGCTGGCCTCAAACTCCTGGGTTCAAGGCATCCTCCTACCTCAGCCTCCTAAAGTGTTAGAATTACAGGAGTGAGCCACTGTGTCCAACCAAAAATATTAAACTCACTTTATAATATATGGTTTCAGAACAAGGACCAAACAAATTAAATTAAAAAATAAAATATGGTTGGCCAAGTGTGGTGACTCAGCCCTGTAATCCCAGCCCTTTGGGAGGACAAAGCAGAAGGCTCACTTGAGCTTAGGCATTCAAGACCAGTCTTGGCAACATAGCAAGACCTCATCTCTGCTAAAAATAAAAAATATTAGCCAGACATGGTGGTTCACACTTGCAGTCTCATTTATTCAAGAGGCTGAAGTGGGAGGATTGCTTGAGCCCGGGAGATCAAGGCTGCAGTAAACTATCATCGTGCCACTGCACTCCAGTCTGGGCAACAGAGCGAGACCTTATCTAAAAAATAAAATAAAATAAAAAGTATGGTCCAAACAGGCCAGACAAGGTGGCTACCTGTATTCCCAGCCACTTTGGGAGGCTGGGGCAGGAAAGTTGCTTGAGGCCACGAATCAAGACCAGCCTAAGCAACACAGCAGGACCCATCTGAAAAAACAGGAACAAGTAGTGGCATATCCCAATCGTGTCAGCTAACTGGAAAGGCTGAGGCAGGAGGATCACCTGAGCCCAGGAGTTCAAGGCTGCACTCCAGCCTGGGCAACAGAGCAAGAACCCTGTTTTCTAGAGAAAAAAAAAAAAGTCAAAACATTTCATAAAACCTCCACACAATGGAGGTTAAGCTGTTACTCTTCAATTTCACTGCACCTATCAGAAGGCATAATTTCATAATATCAGGATTCCCTGGCGTTTTAACCACTCCGAAGCTTTTTGATCCCACAAAGTTACTATGCAATGCTGTCTTGTCCCTGAATCTCAACATAATTCAACTATCAATTTTACATATTCTTACTCCACTGGGTTCTGCTTTATAGAATTGACAGTAGACATTTCATTAAAGAAAATGTAAAAAGAACCCCAATACATATATTAAAATTTCCTTACTAGAATCTTTTAGTATAATTTAAAAACCTGAAATGAGAATTCACCTCACTTTAAGTGGGTCTCTTACTTGGATTTAGAGGATGAAGTGGCTTTCTCTCTCAGAAATAGCTTTGAACTGCAATTCTAGAAACTACAGATGGCAAGCACTCTCCATAGCTTGAACACAGCATATTTTATATCAATGCCCACACAAAAAACCTATTATATTTCTTAGGAAATAAAACTTGAATCCTGATTGGCAGAACTGCCTCAGTGAGGGCTGGCTGAACTGTGTACCCAAAATGTTTTAGATCTATGGTACACTTTCATGCTGGCTGTACCAATATATTTCCACTTGCCCCTCTTACAATTTGACTGGCATTCCTCTCAGCAAGGGGTGGAGACTATGTTTCCTCTTTTCGTGAATCTGGGATTAGGTCTCTGAGATTTATCACTATTGCAACCAAGAGTATGGTAAAAGTGGTATTATGTGACATTAAGTCCTAAAAAGCCAACTCTGCCAAGTTCTATTGGAGCCCTGAAATACCACCTAAGTCCAGCTGCCCTAAAGCCACTGTGCTAGAGACCTTGGGGAAAGACTCTATCACTACCTGGGAGATGCACAAAGAGCATTCTTCCAGCTCAGAAGTGAAAAGCTTCTTCAGACTCAGAACCAGAAGTGATACTCCCGAGTTCCTGACTCACAGAAAACTTATCTTACACCATTAATCTTTGGATGCTTTGCTAACACAGCAATAACTCACGTACAGCTGATACTGCTAAGCACCACAGCCACCACTTGGTTGGGTTCAGAAGATACCCCACTCTACCTTTTTAAAGTTTGGTCCAAATTTGTACCTACAACTCTTCCTTTTTTCCTGCAGCACAAGTAAAACAAGGTTGGATCTTTAAACAAGTTCAGGCAATGATGACATAAAGAAGCTAACGCAACCAGCTGCCCTGGCTTCTAAACTGAATTCACTGACCTTACTATGAGTTTGTAGAAACACTTCTCTCCTGATTAGTATCTCTGAAAAAGGTTTCTTCCCCAGGCCATCTGTGTTTTATGCAGGGATTGTTAACCCTACCTACTATTACACCCAAGGACTCTAGGTAAAATGTAGTGTTTGAAAAACATGTTATAGGCTTCCCCCCTCCCCCCCAGTGATGGGCTGTCATTACAAGATTGAGCTTTCATACTTCCTAACCAAGCTTACGGGGAATCTAAACACAAAAACTAATTTACTTTCTAGGAGCTCTTTAAAAATGGGTTTAAGACTAATCAAATCTCTATGCCGGGCGCGGTGGCTCACGCCTGTAATCCCAGCACTTTGGGAGGCCGAAGCAGGTAGATCACGAGGTCAAGAGATTGAGACCATCCTGGTCAACATGGTGAAACCCCGTCTCTACTAAAAATACAAAAATTCAGCTGGGCATGGTGGTGTGTGCCTGTAATCCCAGCTACTCAGGAGGCAGAGGCAGGAGAATTGCCTGAACCCAGGAGGCAGAGGCTGCGGCGGTGAGCCGAGATCGCGCCATTGCACTCCAGCCTGGGTAACTAGAGCGAAACTCCATCTCCAAAAAAAAAAAAAAAAAAAACTAATCAAATCTCATATCTGAGTATGATAGAATGCTTTTTTCCCCAGTGGCATTCATCTAGTTCAGCTGTCAAGCATACCTTTCTTAAATATAGCAGACTGAACATAGGGTTAAAAATCTGTGTGAAGAGAATTAGGGTACCTGAAATAGTTTTCAGCTGTCAATCACTTTGGTCCTTTACTAGCATTCTAAGAATCAGCCTACCTTGGATTACTTTGTCTTACAAATGAGGATTAGCAAACTCATCAACATAAAAAAAAAGTATAGTACATGCTGCAAAAATGTAAGTATACACTGACATTGATTTGCCAAAATAACCACAAATTATACATATTTAACTATAATTAAATCAAGTTTTTAGAAATTTAAAGTCTGCTTCCCTAAAAATACAGGAACTTTCTTGTGTGATAAAACTTGAGACATATGACAATTTATGAATAGCAACTGAAATATTCAACCAACAATGGTCTGTTTTGTATTTTTTCCTTAGCTTATACTTCATTCTTTCCAACTATTTTAAAGCTAAATCTTTTTTTAAAAAAGTTTTTAAAATAAGTCACAGGCAAATCATGAAGAGTTGGATTTATTTTAACAGTAAATTTGAAACTCTTGCCTTAAGCAAGAGTACTACAGTAATTATATCAGGAATAGACAATAGACAATTTCCTACACTGTCAAATATATAAAAGTTCCTTTGCACTTTCTTCAACACTGATCAACCAGCAGATTCAGTCCACATTTGCTTTGATCTATCTACTGAGTTAACCCAAGCTTCTTCTTCAGAGACTCTGGCATCTCAGGTGGAGGAGGGCGAGGGAGCCTGAAGTAGACCTTCACGGAGTCATAGATAAACCACTGTAACGCAGTCAGAGTACCAATCATGATGATACGGGCAAACAGTCCCTTCCATACACCTGGTTCAAACAGGAAACACAAATGAAAAAATGCAACATATCCAAAACTGCTGTTCTTTCTTTCAAGAAAAAAACACCATCCTACCTTTAAATCCAAGTCTCTTGAGGACCTGAGAAGCACTGCTACCTTTTTCTTTATTCAACACAGATACCACAGAATCAGCAGGGTGAGAAACAATTGCACAAAAGACTCCAGCTAGAAAAAAGATAAAGGATCCCATATAGGGCCAGTTAAAAATAAAAATTCACATAGCCAATAATAATTTTTCTGACTTTAAAATAATTTTTTTAGTTCTAAAATAAAAATCAGACTCAGGGTGAAATGGGTTACCAAGCCATCTACCTTATGTAAAACAAAACAATCTTTTAAGTTTTTTTTTTTTTTTTTTTTTCCAATTTTTAATCAATACTTTCTGTATAAAATTCGGAATAAACTAAACCAGGCTGGACACGGCAGCTCATGCTTATAATCCCAGCACTTTGGGAGGCCGAGGTGGGTAGACTACAAGGTCAGGAGTTTGAGACCAGCTTGGCCACACAGCGAAACCCCGTCTCTACTAAAAATACAAAAATTAGCCAGGTATGGTGGCGCATACTGGTAGTCCCAGCTACTCGGGAGGCTGAGGCAGGAGAATCACTTGAACCTGGGATGCGGAGGTTGCGGTGAGCAGAGATCACACCACTGCACTCCAGCCTGGGCAACAGAGTGAGACTCCATCTCAAAAAATTAAAAAAAAAAAAAAAAAAAAACTAAAAGAAAGAAAAAAGCTGTACTGAAAAATGGAACTTGTCATGTCAAAAAAAAAAAAGGAAATGAAAAAAGAAAAAAAAAATACATTCCCAAGCCTAATAATGACATCCCATAAAACAACCCTTTTAGAAACTAGTTAGCAAGTATTCATGAATCCTAAAAAGCATATAAAATGTTATGGGAAGATAAAACTGCTTTATAGGCCAGGAGCAATGGCTCACGCCTATAATCCCAGAACTTTGGGAGGCCAAGGCAGGTGGAATCACCTAAGGTCAGGAGTTCGAGACCAGCCTGGTCAACATGGTGAAACCCCATCTCTACTAAAACACAAAAATCAGCCAGGTGTGGCAGTGCATGCCTGTAGTCCCAGCTACTCGTAGGAGGCTGAGGCAGGAGAATGGCTTGAACCCAGGAGGCGGAGGTTGCAATGAGCTAAGATCTCGCCACTGCACTCCAGCTTGGGCAACAGAGCAAGACTATGCCTCAAAAAAACAAAAACAAAAAACAAACCAAAAAAACCTGCTTTATAACCTTTCAAATATTTTTCTCTCCCAAAAAAGGCCAATAATGGAAATGATTATTTATCAGTAATTTCAGATAAGTGTGTTCTAAGTAATTCATTCATACCTATGTAACCTGCTACAAATGTTACAACCAGCTGCTCTGGCTTTGAACATTCACTGCGGGGCTTGGGAACCACAAACTTGTACAGAGCTTCAACAGTACGTTCAAAGCAGGCAAACTTCATCATGGTGTATGGTATCTGTCTCATCCAGAGAGGAGCAACGCCCTTGTAGAATCTAGGAAATCAAGAGACTTGTTTTACCCAGTTGCATATACTCATCTATCAGAGATTTTCATTATTAACAGAAGTGTCCGCACACAAGTCGAGTCCTGATAGTAAAAAATGGCAGCATAAATGCATGTCATTTCTATCAGAACCTTAGACTAACATGCAGGTATATTTCTCTCACATGCCAATGACTCAAGCACCTTTGACTATACAACCAAAAAAGTTGCTGGATGTTTCTTTGACTGGAACCACAAGAAACACTAAGTTTACAAGTAGAACTCAGTTCAAGATTCATCCACAAAGGTGGATCTAAGGAAGCATGTTGTGGTCTGACGACACAGAAATTCTTAACTGTGAACAGATCACAAGGATTCTAACAAGCCCTCACTAAAAGTTAATAGTAAATGTTTAGGCCAAATATTAAGTCATTTGTAGACTGACAAATGGTCCTTACTTTAGGAAAAAAAAAAAAAACCTCAGTCCAGGGCTCAAACCATGTATTAATTTAACTCTCTAGTTTACGTTCTATATACAGGTAAATAAACATTAAATGTTATAACAGTCCTTTTAAAAAGCCTGGTAGGCTTAATACTAAAAAATGAAGTTCACAACCAGGCGCAGTGGCTCACGCCTATAACACCAGTACTTTGGAAGGCCCAGGCAGGAGAATTGCTTGAACCCAGGAGGCAGAGGTGCAGTGATTCAAGATTGTACCGTTGCATTCCAGCCTGGGCAACAAGAACAAACTTCTGTCTCAAAAAGAAAAAAAAGTTCACTAAAAATAAGTACTTTCATAGTATAAATTTGCTTTTACTTACGCTTTTAGTCCTTCTTCCTTATACATTTTGGGAGCTGCATCCCTCAAAGTGTTGGCATAACCTGGCTGGGTTTGAATTCGAACCTTAGCAGCTTCCATAGGAGCCAGGGCAATGTCAGCAAAGAATTCAGCACTGGCAGAGGCAGCCAAATATAGTGATGTGCGCCAGAGATAAGTATTCTCCTAAAATCCAAAACACAAGGAAGGACGTGAATTGCTGTTGTGTTGGTTTTCAACTGAAGTGACATTTCTTGAAAACTAAACTTCAGTTTATCAAGTAACACATGATGATATGGAATATATATGTGGTCCCTCATAACCTCATTAACCAAACACGTGTTTGGCGAACAATGTGAACATTTAAAAAATATCTAAATGCAGCTGGGCATGGTGGCTCACACCGTGAGCCTCACTGTAATCCCGGCACTTTGTGAGGCTGAGGCAGGCAGATCACCTGAGGTCAGGAGTTCAAGACCAGCCTGACCAGTATGGTGAAACCTCGTCTTTAAAAATAAAAAATAAAATATCTAGATACCATGAGTTAGCCCTGGAACCATGCAAAGGAGTTCCAGAGTTCTCTAAAAAGCTCAAAATCCAACTTACTTAGAAAACAAGATAGTATATTAAAAAGAGAACTATAATTTAATGAAGTACATTTTATTTCTCAACCTGTCTTTGCTAAAACAGGCTTATGATTTAAGACGTTGCTCACTCTGTAGGACCATTTTCTTCAGTGCTAAAATAAGGCAGGACAGGCCGGGCACGGTGGCTCACGCCTGTAATCCTATTACTTTGGGAGGCCGAGGCAGGTGGATCACCTGAGGTCAGGAGTTCAAGACCAGCCTGGCCATAATGGTGAAACCCCATCTTGAAGGAAAAAAAAAAAAAAAAAAGGGCAGGACAGACAATCCAAGAACCTTTTTGGTCTTAAACTTTAACACTCAGGATGTTCAATTTCAAAGTTAATGACATACCTCTCCAAGCATGTTGCTATACAAGACTTTAAAGACTTCATAAAAGCCAAACTTGCAGAGCCCTTGCAGGGAGTAGCCAATGAAAGTCGGAGCCCATCCTTTGGCCAAACCACGAACACCATCCTCCTTAAGTGTAACTGAGAATCCGTTAAATATGCCCTTGTACTTTTGGGGGTCCACCTTTATTTAAAACAAGAAAAAAAAATTAAATGCACCAAACAGCTAACATAAAAACCTAACAGAAATATCTAATTTCATGATTATTTTTGTTTGGGTTCTATAATAAATTTCAGCAACTAAACAAAAGGTAAATACAGTAGTTCCCCTGTATCCAAGGATCCAAGGGTTCATTTTCTGTGGCTTCAGTTACCCAAGGTCAACTGACATCTGAAAATATTAAGATATTTTGAGTGAGGAACTACATTCATATAACTATTATTACAGTTTATGCTTATAGCTGTTAATTAGTTATTGTTAGTATTTTACTGTGCCTATTTATAAATTAGACTTTATTAAAGATGTGTGTGTATAGTAACAAAGTATACATCGGGTGTGGTACTGAGGTTTTAGACATTCACAGGGCATCTTGGAACATAGCCTGTGTGGATAAGGGGGAGGACTACTGTACAAGTTCACTGCATTATCAGCTGATTATCTGTGATTACTTTTTAGTAGAGACAGGGTTTCACCATGTTGCCCAAGTTGGTTTCCAACTCCTGAACTGAACTCAGGCAATCAGCCTGCCTCAGCCTCTCAAAGTGCTGGGATTACAGGCATGAGCCACCGTGCCCAGCCTCTATGATTACTTTTATAAACAGAAACTTTTGGCTGGGCACGGTGGCTCACGCCTGTAATCTCAGCACTTTGGGAGGCCAAGGCGGATGGATTACCTGAGGTTAGGAGTTCAAGACCAGCCTGGCCAACATGGTGAAACCCTGTCTTTAAATAAATAAATAAATTTTTGAAAATTAAAAAAATAATAAATAGAAACTTTTGTCCACTAAGGTCTAGCTTTCTGTGTCAAACCTAAGTCTTGGAGTGACAGTTATGTGGGTAAAAAATTTCAACAAAAGTACATAATAAAACTGATTCTTAAGACATTTCTTACTACTCAACTCCTACTACTTTTCTGGGTTTTTTTTTTTTGCCTTGCTCTGTCACCCAAGCCGGAGTGCTGTGGTGTGATCTCAGCCCACTGCAACCTCTGCCTTCTGAATTCAAGCGATTCTCCTGCCTCAGCCTCCCAATTAGCTGGGATTAAAGGCACCCGCCACCACATCTAATTTTTGTATTTTTAGTAGTGACAGGGTTTCACCATGTTGGCTAGATTGGTCTCAAACTCCTGACCTCAAATGACCTGCCTACTTTAGCCACCCAAAGTACTGGCATTCCAGGCATGGGCGACTATGCCTGGCCCACTTCCTACTTTTTAAAAGCTACCGTCTAGATAACAGATATATCGGTATTCCTAGCGTATGCCTAGTTCTTTTCTTTTTTTGAGACGGAGTCTCACTCTGTCGCCAGGCTGTAGTACAGTGGTGCAATCTTGGCTCACTGAAACCTGTGCCTCCTGGATTCAAGTGATTCTCCTGCCTCAGCCTCCAGAGTAGCTGGGACTACAGGTGCCTGCCACCACATCTGGCTAGTTTCTTGTATTTTAGTAGAGACAGGATTTCACCATGTTGGCCAGGATGGTCTCCATCTCCTGACCTTGTGATCCACCTGCCTCAGTCTCCCAAAGTGCTGGGATTGCAGGCATGAGGCTAGTTTTTTAAGTAGTTTATAGCATAAAGTTTTGTGAACACTAAACAAACTAAACATAAGTTTAAAAGTTTAAAAAAAGCACATAAACTAAATTCACTTCAAGAGATATGCATGTTTTAGCAAAGGTACAGTTCATATCCTTTATATTAAAAGTTTAAAAAAAGCACATAAACTAAATTCACTTCAAGAGATATGCATAAGATGTTTTAGCAAAGGTACAGTTCATATCCTTTATATTAACTGCTGGGGGGGAAAGCTTATCTCACTATTTCTGCCAGTACTAGAAGGGGTGGTATACATCACCTTCCTCTCTCTCCTAATATTTCAAATTCCTTTCTCTTTTAGGTAAGTAGACTTCTAATCCTGTTTGGAACAAATAAATTTTTGTTGTCTTATTATTTTTGTTTCAATAATCTTAATTAAAAGATATGCAAATTATTTAAAATGTTTATGTAAATATACAAGAAGCTAATCAGACAAAATTTTCATATTAAGATATTAAGAGAATTTTAAAGAAATCTACATGTGCTCTTTGCCTTGGTCTTATTAGTAGATAAAGGACATCGTTACTTCACATAATACAGACTTGTTTACCCAATCCAACACATAGCTGCTTGTAAAGTGATTATTTAGGGCACTAGTAAGCTTGAAGAGCTCTGGCCAGAAGTGAAGAGCTGCAGCAAAGAGCTATTTACAGCCACAGTCTAATAGTGAATAATTTACTCACACAAAAATGTACTGGATTTAAAACACTAATTAAAATGAAGACCACAAACTTAAAAAAATTCTAGTTTGGTTTTCTACTGAAGTTTCTAGCAGTTGTGATGTCTTCAAATTCTCATTTGTGAAGTGTTTTAAGATTTTATTTGAAGTCACATGAAAGACACTTTCAATGTTATCATCTCAATACAAACCTGCATACGGCATTTCACTAAATCCAGGGGAACGACAGCAGTGTGTGTCAGACCACAACTTAAGACCCCACCAAAGCCACACAGTGCATAATACTTCGCGGAGCCAAATTCACAACTGTACTCTGTAGTAAGAGAAGACACACCATGCATTTTAATATAAAACTCATGTTACTGGTCATAAACTTACCTCCTGGACAGTTAGGATTCCACACAGCTTGTTAGTAGATGACTATATCTTACAACTTAACAGTCAGTCATGCTTCAATATGCTCTAGTCCAGCATGCAAAACAAACCTGCATTCTGCATTTAACCAGATCTAGAGGAACCAATGCTGTATGTGTTGTGCCACAGCTAATAATTCCTCCAAGTCCACAAAGGATAAAGAATCTGCCAGATCCATAGTCACAGCTATACTGCTCTGTTTGATTGGGAAAAAAAAAAAAAAATCAAGTAAGTATCTCTTCAGAGACAACTAAGGCCACTGGAATGAAAGAAAACTGTTTTCTGGTGAAATATTGTTATCACAGCTGAGTAGCTTTGGCCACAATTAAGTGGCTTAAAAAAAATTCACTGCCAAAATCAGATTATTTAAAAATTATGGGGGTTCTGTATCTGATATTTGAATAACTTGTATTCTGCCATATTAATTTTGGAAAAAAGGTTTCTGCATTAAGGGCTTTTACAATTAAAGTCAAACTTTGAATTATTGGCCACTGGTAAGAGCACACTTCAGAGTACAAATGAAACTCAGAAAGATCACTCGACATGTAAAAGGCTTGCAAACAACTTCAAAGTTTATCCTAGCCACCAACCAATACTATTCCCACTTATGAACTCCTATAACATAAAAAAACAGGTACACATAAATTCCTGCAGTCAAATATATTTAACACACAAATAATGTTAGCTTTAACTTTTAAACTGAACGACAGAATGACAGTGTAAGTAAGGACTTTTAATCCATACTAAAGACATAACAGAAGCACATGAATGATTTAAAGAAAAAAAAAATCTTTGGTTTTACAGGCACAAGGTAGATAACATTCTCAGGACTCCTACAATTCGGTTTTCAGGTTTCTCTGTATGCACATACTTCACTAGGATTTAAAACACAATTAAGTTAAAGCCCAGGCCAACCACCAAAAATCCCAAGAGATAATCACACCAAAGGGATGCCCGTGAATCATCTCCTTTCTATTGCCTATGTAGGGCTGTAAGCTGTATCCTCAAGTTATCTCATATGCAATTAAGTGCAAAAATGACTGACCTGACGTCGACGAATATAAATCTTAGGAAAGGACGATTTTTAAGAAAACTAAGGTCAAATCAAAGGACAGGAAATATAGTTAGTAGAACTATGGGTGGTCAGTAGTTTGGGAAGGAGACTACCCAATACTTGGTCGGCTGACCAAACAGGCTCACGGCAGATAAGGTAAGGAGCTACTCACGGCCTCTCTTCCCTCGGGGACATGGAGGTCACGAAGGGACACTGGGCCTCAGCCCTTCCACGCCCTTGAGGAAGGGCCAAGGATCCGACACCCGCCCAGGGTGGACAAGGCCGATATCCCAGGGCAAGTAACTGGGCGCCGTACTACGGTGGACGGGGCTGGACTCGTCCTTCCCTGTCCTCCAAGCCGGGCCCAGGCCTCCAAGGCTGGGCGGAACACGAGTACACCACACGACTGTATTGGGCAGGGTCTGATCTCACCTTCCACGGCAGCGGCTGCCAGGTTGCGAGGGCGGCGGGGCTGGCCTGTGGGCCCCGGAGGGCTGCTGCGGAGGTCCGCGAGGCCATCGTGCACCAGCTGCAGATGAGGCGCGTTGAAGGGGTTCGCCCGCGCCAAGTGCGCCACGGACGAGAACATCTTTCTGGGGAAGAGGGAGCGGCGGTTAGAGGATAGGCAAGACGCCGGTTAATGTTACCGGCACCCTCGGACTCCAACCGGGGCTTCCCGCCTCCGCGCCCTTGAAGAGGTCACGGAGGCCTTCGAAGGCGGCTGCTCCCGGCTGGGCCCACCGCCAAAGCAGCGGCCCCACTGGGGCTGTAGGCTCCGCTCCCCACACCCGCCACAGGAGAAGGCCCGGCCGCACTCACTCCCTAAGATGGCGATCACCCAACCACTCCCTCGGAAAGGTTGCCGCTCACAGAGGCCGAACGTCCTCCGGGCCCTAAGATGTGTGCCCTTCGCGTGTCGTCAGAGTGACGCGCGCGCGTCACTGCAAGAACGCGTCGCCCATTGGTGGAGAAGAGCGCCGAACCCGTAGCGTCATCGCGTTCTCCTAGCAACCTTATTCCCGCCCTTGCCACCCCAGCTCTTCCGGCCCAGCCTGTGCGCCGGAGGCTTCGTTCTGCGCAGGCGCGCGTTCCGGGTCGTATTTTTTTTTTTTTTTTTTTTTTTTTTGATAGGTGTTGGGCTCGGGCTCTTGTCCTACTCGCTTTGTCCCTTCACCTTCAGGTGTCTCTCGTTGAGCCTAGGCTTCAGTTCTCTAAAGTGAATCACAGTATCTAGTAGTCACTCAAAAAAAAAATAATAATAATACGAATGCTTTATGATATATTTAGGTGTTGGAGTTATAACATCACTGCAGTATTTTGGATCACAACTTCTGCCATTACAGTACTTCTTAAAAGAAGTTCCATCCATTGACATTAAACATAGGTATGTCTGCATTTTTCTGGAGAGTATTTTAAAAGGAATGTGCAGTAAGAAGTCTTAAGGCGGCTTCCCGCTTTTCCACAATAGTCTAGAACACGTTGAAATAGAACACGTTGAAACATTCAACACCTGAGGTGTTAAAGGGATGAACTACTGAAAGTGACTGATGGTAGATGGTGCTGTGTGTGCTTAATACATTTAGGAAGGCTTCATTAGATTCAGCTCAACAGGGAGGGGCATAGTTTAGTTGCAGAGTTTAATAGGGGTTCAAACCGTTAGACTTTGGCTCTTATATTTTCCCAGCTCTTGACAAAGTAACCTTGGGAATTTACTTCATCTCTGTGAACCTGTTCCTTAGATGTAAGATTGGTGTGGGACTGGCCTTACAGGTTCACACTGGTACAATCACACATGGTCTTACACTTAGTTTAATGCTCTTAAGTCATTTTGAATTTTATTATTTTATTTTTTGAGACGGAGTCTTGCTTTGTGCAATGGCACCATTTCAGCTCACTGCAACCTCTGCCTCCTGGAATCAAGCGATTCTCCTGTCTCAGCCTCCAGAGTAGCTGGGACTACCAGCGTGCACCACTACGGCCGGCTAATATTGGTATTTTCAGTAAAGACGGGGTTTCCTCATGTTGGCCAGTGTGGTATCGAACTACTGACTTCAGGTGGTCCACCGCCTTGGCCTCCTAGTGTGCTGGGATTACAGGCGTCAGCCACCTTGCCCAGCTTGACATTCTTAATAAACGTATGAACAAGGGGCTACACATTTTTTATTTTGCACTGGACCCTGCAAATTAGGTGGCTGGTTCTGGACTGGAGTAATACTTATCTTGCAGTCTGTGAGAACTCAATGAGATGTCTAAAAGTCTACAGAAGATGTGCACTTAAAAAAAAATTAGCTCTAGGCGGGGCACGGTGGCTCACACCTGTAATCCTAGCACTTTGGGAGGCCAAGGTGGTCAGATCACAAGGTCAGGTGTTCAAGACCAGCCTGGCCAATATGGTAAAACCCCATCTCTACTAAAATTACAAAAAAAAAAAGATTAGCTGGGCCTGGTGAGGTATGCCGGCAGTACCAGCTACTCGGGAGGCTGAGGCAGAAGAATCACTTGAACCCAGGAGATGGAGGTTGCAGTGATCTCAGATCATACCACTGCACTCCAGCCTGGGTGACAGAGTGAGACTCTGTCTCAAAACAAAAAAAAAAAAATTAGCTCTGAGGCTGCAGCGTCATGGCACTCTCTTAGCAACCCTTCCCCTGGCCCAGCCCTCTGGCCCAACTAAAGTCCCAGAGTCCCAGGAAGAATTCCAGAGTGGAGAGCATAGGAAGGGAAGTAGTGACAGATAAAGTTAAGAAAGTAGGCTGGGCGTGGTGGCTCACGCCTGTAATCTCAGCACTTTGGGAGGCTGAGGCAGGGGAATCACGAGGTCAATAGATTGAGACCATCCTGACCAACATGGTGAAATCCTGTCTGTACTAAAAATACAAAAATTAGCTGGGCGGGTGGCGCACACCTGTAGTCCCAGCTACTCGAGAGGCTGAGGCAGAAGAATCGCTTGAACCTGGGAGGCAGGCAGAGGTTGCAGTGAGCCAAGATCAAGCCATTGCACTCCAGCCTGGACGACAAGAGTGAAACTCCATCTCGAAAAAGAAAAAAACAAAAAACAAAAAAAGAGCTTAAAAAACTACCCTAGCACCTGTTTGTCCAGGGCCTCAAATACCAGACTGAGGAGTCTGATCTTATATAGACAAAGGCAGTCATGGAAGGGTCTGGTTTTTCTTTCTCTCTTTTCTGGTTAATTCAACTTTATGTTACTACACTAATTTAAAAATCCTTTGTAATAAAAAAACAAATATTATGTAAAAATATATAACTGTAGAGAATCTTCCTATTCCCTTCCCCCAGCACCAGATAATACTGTGTCCATTTGCTGCACATTTTTTCAGCTGTAACAGCTGGTAAGTACCTTCACCGTGGGGCTGCACATGCTTGTGGCCCAGAACTCAGAGAAGCTGATCTAGAAGATCCAGTGGTAGCTGAAGGAGCTGCAGGCCCAGCTTCTACCCCATGTAGGAGCTGGAGACCTTCAGAATGTAATGACTGTTGCTCCACTTCTGCCTTCCAAATTGCATGGATTTCTCTTATAGCTAACCTTAACCCAAAACTATACAGGGAAGGGAATCTAGGAAATGTGGTTCTAGGCTAGCTAAATTGACACAGTAAAAAAGCACCACGGGGCTTTGCAGAAACCACTGCCGCCAGGAGCCCTGTACTATCAGCCATGTTCAACCCCACCGTGTTCTCCGACATTGAGCCCTTGGGCCGTATCTCCTTCTAGCTGTTTGCAGACAAGGGTCCAAAGAGCAGAAACCTTTCATACTCTGAGCGCTGGAAAGGATTTGGTTTTAAGGATTCCTGCTTTCACAGAATTATTCCAGGGTTCATGTGTAAGGGTGGTGACTTCACACTCCATAATGGCACTGGTGGCAAGTCCATCCATGGGGAGAAATCTGGTGATGAGAACTTCATCCTGAAGCATACAGGTCCTGGCATCTTGTCCATGGCAAATGCTGGACCCAACACAAACAGTTCTCAGTACTGCCAAGACAGAGTGGCTGGATCACAAGCATGTGGTCTTTGGAAAGGTGAAAGAAGGCATGAATATTGTGGAGGCCATGGTGTGCTTTGGGTCCAGGGATGGCAAGACCAGCAAGAAAATGACCATTGCTGACTGTGGACAACTCTAATAAGTTTGACCTGTGTTTTATCTTAACCACCAGCCCATTCCTTCTGTAGCTCAGGAGAGCACCTTCCATTCCATTTGCTCACAGTATCCTAGACTCTGTTCTCTCACTGCAGTTCCCTTTAGGTTCTTTGTTTTCCTTGTTCCCCTCTATGCCTAGCTGGATTGCAGAGTCAAGCTTATGATTATGAAATTAAAACTACGTGACAACAGCAACAAAAAAAGCACCACAATCTGTTGTCAACATGGCATCAATGAACACCTCTTGTAATCATATTTAACTTCCAGATAAAAACTAAAGAGCAAAGTCAGGCCTAACCTAACATGATACAGCTGTCCTTTGGACAATTGTGAACATGCTATTTCTCCCCAAAAAAGGATACAAAATCCTTTTGCCCTTCTTTGGGTGATGTTACCACAGCAGGTATGGACTAAGACAAGGGGCTTGGCCTCCTTAATATTCAAGATGCTCTGGGCCTCTGACCTGACACAAGTAGGGAAATTGCCTGAAAGACCATAACTCTCCACTGTGGAGATTCAAATCAGACTTCTATTCACCAGATCAGGAGTCTTTTCACTTACACATAACTAACTTAATAGGCTGTTCATTTATTTTTGTTCTAAGGACACCATGATCCATTAGGCAATGCCAAAGATCTCTGCAGATCAAACCATTCTGACTATTGCTTCTGTTGTCCATTGTAGTAACCATGTCTGGACTGGTCTTTGGTAAGTAAAGATCACCTCTATCCTAGAAGCCCACTGAATTTAGGGAGCCCCAGTTTAATGATAGCAATTCTCATCATCATTCCTGGCCTACAGTGAATGGCTACTACATAAAATGCTGGGGCTTTTCTTATGAATGTATTTCTCATGCCCTTGATAAAGGATTGTCCTCTGGACTCTTGAGAAAATTAGGAGGTAGATGAGAATATCTTAAAATAATAAATCTATTCCAGCATTGTAATTTCTGTAAACTTTTGGACACTATTAAAGAAAACAATTATTCCAACACTTGTTATTCAGATTTGGCAGAATTTTATTCAGAACTATTATGATAGATGTAGGAAGAGCTGCAATAGGGTTTTGCAGTGGGTGAGAGAGATTGGGCTCCACTCCAAATGCAACAAAAATAAGTGGGAATTTATAGCCAAGGAGCAGGATGGGGGGAGAGTGCCAATGTATAGAAAATTACTAAAAGGGTAGGATAACTTGTGCTAAACAAATCTAGTAAGATTCTTGCTGAAGGCAAACCAGAGTGATCAGATATCACCTTGGAGAAAGTGGAAGATGAAGAATTTGATCAAATATGGAGGGTGATCAGATATCAAGGGTGGGGGATTCTTGCTATGACTGGGCTTTTGGTGGACATGCCCCAAGATGGGGCCTAGTCAAAAAAGGTTTCAGAGAAGTCTGACTAAAGTTAGATCAAGGAGAGTCTTTGTCAATACCTTCCTATCTGGTATACCAAGAAAGTCTGGATTTTTAATTTCATTTAGTATAGGCCACCATTGAATTTAAATTTCAGCCAGATCATTAGAGTCACTCCCAGGCATTTGAATGAAAACAATGCATTGAGACACTCTGTGTACTGTACCCATATTAATAAATTTGGCTTGATCTACTATTATATTCCTTCTATTCTATTTTAGTTTTTGCTGCCTATCAAATTACCCCAAAATGATATGAGGGTGATCTGGCTGTGACGTCTGTCACCCCATCGATGGCCAGGGTTGCTTTGGCTGATCTGGCTGCCTAAGCTCATGTCCCCTTCTTCCCTCACTGCTCCATGTGCGTCCCTCCCAAAGCTGTGTGCTGGGTCAAAA